CCCCAAAACCCCAAAAACCCCAAAACCCCAAAACCCCAAAACCCCGTATCACGATCTTAAAATTAGAAGCAAAATATAATTATTAAAATAAATGGAGCCGAAAGATTTGATGGTTACCAAGAATGTAGGCTTTCTGAACCCAGATTTAGTACTAAACAGCCTGAAAATGACTCTGAATTATCAAAAAATGAAGGTACTTACACCTTTAGCAGGCTAGTTACCGAATGAGGCCATCTTTTGGCTGCATCAGATGATGTAGATATCTAGAAAATTGCCTATTTTAGAACCCTGAAAGGAGCATACATCACTCATATAAAAAAATTTCCGCATTGTCTTAGAACAAATTTAAGCATCTTCTATGACTTATATAGCGTGCTCTAAAATTAAGCTGAGAAAAATGGAACCAAAGAGAATCTTAGCAGCTAGGGACCAAAAAGAGTCAGAAATGCTACATCAGAAGGCCTGGATTTCTGTTTATAATATGTCCTTTGATCGATACAATTTTTATGAGCGTAGCTACATATTGGATATTGATTATGCCCAGCCTAAATACTTCGATGTTATGAAGAAGATGAAGTCCTTGACTATACCTTCCGTGAATAGAGTCTATGTGCTCAATGTAGAATTAGATAGAAAGAACAAAGATGTATTTTTCGAAAAGTGATTTCCAAGCTGAATTTTATGGTTTGAAGTATCATTTAATTGTCTAACAGATCTAAGTAAATTGCTTCTAAGATTATCGAAGGTTAGTTACAAAATTATGAAACAAATCACGTTCACAAAACTGAACATTAATGAGTCTTAGATGAAGAAACTCTTCATGCTAGTAAGACACATCGTGAGCGTCAAACTGAGTTTCTGTAAACTCAGCTTCACCAGAGTCATTAATTTAGCCTCATGCTTAAAAGAAACTGCTATTAAAGATCTTCACATCTCTGATTGTGCTGGGGAAATGTTAAGCGACTGGGTGAATAAGCCTGATAGTTTCTCCAACTTTATTGAGAGTCTCTCTAAGTCTGATTTGAAAAGTTCTTTAAAGAAAGTTTTTGTTCATGAAGCCCAGTTTGAAAGGGACTTTGCTAAGCAAGCAATTTTGAAGAGTGAGTTAAAACATGTCACTTTTATAATAAATTAGAATCAATCTTCTAAAATAATTTTGGGGTTTTGGGGTTTTGGGGTTTTGGGG